TCAAAGACTGAAACACGGCTTGTCCCACCACTAGGAACTATGTTTCCTCAAATAACGCGTTTGTCACCTCAACAATAGCCAGTTAACGTTAATTGTCAGTTTAAGCTAATGCAGCCAGCAACAGCCCTGCCATAAAGCCTTTCAGTTATTTTTAACTGTTTTTTCCGCGACTGCATGATAATTTTGCAGCCTGTAGTTTGTGGTGCTGTTAGATTTTACTGTTTACAAAATGCTTTGTAATATTTTGTCCACCTCGTTTGTATCGGTAAGGTTAGACAAAGTATTAGGAATTAGAGCTTGGCATATTTTTTGGAATAGTGTGTGTGTGTGTGTATATATACATATTTGAGGTAATGGTGTCACTGTCATATAGTTTGTCCACAAGAGAACAGACTTTTTTTTTTTTTACTGTTAAATATCAATACTGGCCTCAAATCTTCTATTTGAAACACTGTGTAACGCACTACAATTAAAAAGCATGTCAAACTACTGCCTGTGGCCATGAGCTTAAATCAACACCTAAGACAATTTCCACAAAAAGACATAATAACCCTCATGGATTTAGGATTTATTTGGGGTATAAGACAACCATAGTATCAGCTAGCTAATAAAGTGGAGTGGACTGTAGTTTGCAGAAACACAAGAAAACAAAGTCAGAGGTATTTGTGGTTAAAATTAATGCACTACTCACCTGGGTGTCAGTGATAATTGTCTGTTAGAACTGGAAGATCAGGATAGGGAAATACCTTTACTACATGTTTCATTGAAGTTGAGTGGTATTTGCATATCAACACAATGTATCTGACTTTTGCACATTTTTTTTGTATCTCTACAGACATGCCAAGTCTAAAGCTAATATCTGCGACCGACACACAGTATTCAGCAGCTGTGCTGAAGTCGATGAATGAGCAGCGAAATCATGGATTATTTTGCGACGTCACTATTATCATACAGGACAAGAAATTCAGAGCGCACAAAACAATCCTGTCTGCCTCAAGTTCATATTTCCACCAGCTCTTCAGTGTAGCTGGACAAGTTATCGAGTTAAACTTCATCAGAGCAGAAATCTTTGAGGAAATTCTCAATTACATTTACAGCTCCAAAATTGTCCGCGTCCGCTCTGACATGCTTGAGGAGCTCATAAATGCTGGACAGATACTGGGAGTCAAGTTTATTGCAAACTTGGGTTCACCATTATCACAAGTTAAGGGACTACCTGGTTTGTCAAAGGAGGTGGAATGCAAAAGTGACACACCCGCTGAGGTGATGCCGATCATCACAGAATCATTCTCAATATCTGCGGAGGAATTCAATCAGACGAGCACACCTGCAGGTAATGATGAGGACTCGGACAGTGATGTTATGTTTGTCTCTCAGACAGATGGTCAAACCAGAGCAACCAATCAGAAAACCAACTCTGCAGAGGTCATTGATTTGGATACAGCAGATTCAGAAAATGTAGCACCAAAACAAAATGAAGAATCAAATCATGCAGTTGCAAAACAAACAGAGAAAGCCAGAGCCCCCTCAAGAACATGTGCTACAAAGCCTCACAGCATCCGTTGTCAAAACCCCAGTTTGCCCAACAGCAGCCCTCTGCGCAGTCCAGACAGCAGCTCCAATAACTCGTCTTCCCCTGCCAGAGTTTCCTCAGGAAGTGCTCCTACAACACCAGCCAGGTCAAGCAGCATCACGCCTGAGCCCTCTAGTGCCTCTCAGTCCTCTGAAAACAGCGATATATTGGGAGTCCACAAAAAACATGTCTCTACTTCACCTCAGCAAGGGAATTTCAAAATACGGCTCTTAGATGTGTCTGAAAGCACAGTAGATCAAACCAACACTCCCAAATCAGCTATAGCAGCAAAAAAGACAGTGACACTGAATACAGCCACAGAGATTGATTCAATTTCATCAGGCTGTAAAGTCTATGCTAATATTGGAGAAAATACATATGACATTGTCCCAGTGAAGGAAGATCCAGGCGAAGGAGGCTCTAAAGCCAATAAAGGGAAGAGATCATTAATGGCAACGCCTTTGAAACCCTTTGATAAAACACCCACATCAACTCAGGCCAGCCCAAACAAGAAGAGGACCAAAACAGAGCTTGAGGATCACTATGAGCTGATTATGGATGGGAAGACTTTCTACGTGTGCATTGTCTGCAAGCGCCCCTACGTGTGTCTGACAAGTCTCCGTCGTCACTTCAACACCCACTCGTGGGAAAAGAAGTACCCGTGTCGCTACTGTAACAAGGTCTTTGCTTTGGCAGAGTACAGAACTAAACATGAAATCCACCACACAGGAGAGCGGAGGTACCAGTGCTTGTTGTGCAATGAGATGTTCATGAACTACCAGGTACTGTCCACCCACTGCAAGCAAGTCCACAACCAGGACCCCAGCGGGAGAAAAGAGAAAGATGAAGCCGACAATAACTTGTACCGACTGCTGCCGTGTAAAACGGTGCAGATGAAACCATACTCATGGAGTACCGACGGGCCGGGGGTCCCCGTCATCTCCGAGGATGGCAGCGTGCATCATATAACCACAGTCGGCGAAGACATCAGGTCTTCCACCCAGAGTAGAATGTTGAACTGGGACGACATCTTTGTTGAGCCCGAAGCTCACATGCCACCTGATGCTCACGCCCAACCAGAGTCCACGATGAACACTCCTCCACAGGGAGCTACAGAGTTTGACTTTGTTATACCAGAGACTTACTGAGCAACTCTCGTTGCTCCATTGCCTGTGCCTTTAAGGTGCCCCCCACCCATTTTCCTCTTTGGTTCCATGTCAACAATATTCTTCTGTAATTCTAGATAGTGTCAGCTTAAGGTATGGTTACTGTATCCTTACCCTTTAAGAACATTTGTATTGTAATATTGTACTAAACATGTCCGCCAGTGCCCGCTGGAGATGGCATCGAAACGGGAAACGAAAAAAACTGATTTTACTCTGCTTGTGCTAATAGTTGATCTTTGGTATCATTGGAATAAATGATAATCACATTAGCAAGAAAACATAGAAGTGGTTCACATGGAGGAAAATCTATATGGAACTGCCCCAGAAATATAAAGGGGGGTTTAAATCAAAAATAATAATCGTGTTCGTTAAGGTTTTCTCTGAATGAGACAAGTTACAGCTGGTGCAGGCTCAAACTGATGTTGACATTTCCTTTTGGGCCTCAAATTCTGAAGATTTGCATGGAAGCATTGAAATGAGATATTTAAATAGCGTTATCCTTTTAGTAGCACCTTTAAGGCCATGTTGCCTAAATCAGTTAAGGAGAACATTGAGCTCTATTCCATTAAATTGGAACTGGAGTCACTTATTTAAGATGGTGAAACCTCAGCTGATGACTTTGTGTAACCAGGTGACCTTTTTCCTTTGGTCTGGATACATTTATGCATCTGTGGTTTCTATAGATTTGTGTAAAATACAGGATGCGACCCATAATCAAATAAATCAAGGTTGTTTGAATTTCTCTGTTTTTGAGTATCAGAGGAAAACCATTTAACAGATACAAGGAGTTTCTGAAATGACCATTCCTGGTTTTCGTTCTGTACAAGAGAATGTTGATTATGGTCTGAAATATATTTTTTCATTGTGATCATTTGTGATCCCACATGTGGGTATTGTGACAGGGAAGATAAATGATTTTAATTGCTGGGAAAAAAACAAATATGGCTTATTTTTTTTGTCCATTAAACACCTGTTTTATTTTCTGTAAATTTTTGACGTCTTGTAAGGAGTGTTGCAAAAATCTGCCAGTCTTCGCAGAGTAGGCTAGTGATTTTGCATACAAATGTGATGATAGGATTGACAGTAACTGAGGATTATTTCAGTTTGCACATATAGCACTTAGCTTGGATTAGGCAGAATCCTTTTTTTGTAATATTTTTACTTTTTCACTCTGATTTTCCATTGTCAAAATGTAGTGATTGGTCAGTATGAGTAAAAAAGGTAGTGCTAACAAGAAAATCTATTCTGCTGTTCAATAAAATAATGCAGGTTTTGTTTTGTAATTAACAGATTAACATTGATGTATGATGTACAGTGTATATTTGTGTTAATCCCTTTTTTTATTTTTATTTTTTACAGTTGTATTTATTAGGGACATAGCAGTAGACAAAATCAAGTAGTTCTGTTGGCATTGTACAAAATGTCCCTTTTCTGTCAATTAACAATGAGGGTTCCCTGATGGTAAATAAATTATTCTTTTACTATTTTTAAGTTAATCGTCTTGCACCACCAGCATATAAACACCTATTTTATTTACTGTGTTGTGTCATTGCAATGTATCTTCTCTAGCATCTCAAAATGGGACACAATGGAAATCTTATCAATTTTCTCTGCCACAATGCAAAATATTAGAGTAAAATAAGTCTGAACAAATGATACAAAGTCTTGTGTGTACAGCCAGCGAACATGATGGAAGCGCTGAACTCACTTGTGCAATGAGACTTCAGAGACATGGGTAAACATGATTTAATTTCATCCAATTGCACTTAAACAAGACTTTTCTTCCGACGTGCTAGCAGCTCTGTGACGCTATACTTGGGAACAAGGGTGCTTTGCGCTAAAATGCTAATGTTGGCGTTCTAACATGCTGATGTTTAGCGGGTATAATGTTAACCACGTTGACCATCTTTAGCGTGTTAGCATGCTCTAACACTTGCTGATTAGCACTATACATATAAATAGAGCTGAGGCGTTGCAGGTCTGTGTTTGGGAAGTTTGACCCAAAGATGGCGCTATATTGGATGTTACAACAGTTTTATCTTGACGGGGGACATGAACATTTTGACAGATGTCGTGGCAATTGGTCCAACAGTTGCTGAGAAATTTTACCAACAACCCATAATGTGAACCTCATGTCGGCACTAAAGGAAAAGTCGGGATCATCATCTCGGAATCACTGTTGTACAGAATTTAATGGTGGACCAACTGACGCTGCCGTCCAAATGGCTAAAGCTTGGCTAAAAAGAAACGCACACTATTTGAATTTACACAAAACATGTTTTAATGGCAAGACAAAAGGGAACTGACAATCAGTCCCTGAGAATGTATTTAAATAATAAAAAGTGATTAAAGCTGACAGACTGGTTTTGTGGACATGGACTGACTTTACACTTTTCTCTTCCTCAGTGAACAACAGTTCTTAACTTTGACTTTTCACAATGTCCCATCTCCTGTCAATGAATCCAGCACTGACTGTTCATACTGAACCGTACCAGTGTTTATTCGTGACAAAGACAACACAACTAATAGATGTAAAATTACGGCTACTTACAAATAGACACAATATATGCTTATCTGCTTTGCAGCTTTTAGTGAAAATACAATAAATAGGGTTTCGAGTGATAGTTAACTTAAGAATACATCTGTGCAAAGTTCACCACACTGATTGAGATATTTATGAACATAAACAGAAAAGTTGATATATAGATACCATGATCTGTTTGTACAACTTAGGCTTAACTGCTGAAACGATCTGTATGTCTCACTGCTATACATACATTATGAGTACTTAACACCTGCTAACTTTGCCTTTTAATAATGTACAGTGAAACGACTGCTTGGGCCTACAGCTCTACAGCTTTTAATTTTCTTGCTGATTTAGATTAGTGACAGATACTAAAGCTTTCATCTAATCTGACACAAGGTCAGTCCAGATCCTCACACTGCAAAGAGTGAGGGCGCACTCGAGGCGGGAAGCATTTACAATATGTACTAAAGAGAGGTGAACATAAATTATGAGCTGGAGAGTTTTTGACCACAATAAGTGCAGGTGACAGAGTGCTGCAGCACTGGAAGTCCATTTGCATTAAGGCAGATAGATGTGTAAACAGTCCTGGCTTTGAACCGGTTGTCTCTCTCTTGATGTGTATATGCACACAAACACACACACAAACAGTGAAGGCATGAGTGTGAGTGATGCCCAGGGAGACAAACACTCGCTCCCTTTTGTAGGGCTGAACTCAAAGTTAGTGTGTACTCTGTGGCTGCCCTCCTCACCACCTTTCCTTCGACACAGTTTTCAACGATTGTGAGGAAGAGCCCAGAGGGACTGTGTATTCAAACTGCTCATTCAGCATCTAACAACATGCCAGGTGCTTCTGTGCTCGTGCCACGTTATGGGCTGTATGGTGGGGGCTTCTCATCAGGGTGGTTGTGAGGAGGTGAGTAGCGCGGCGGGATCAAAGTGGGCCACAAGTGGCTGGCTCCAGACTGGGAGTCATCTGACAGGCCTGAGGAGTCTGGGAACATGTAGGAGCCCTGCTGGAAAGGCAAAACACTTATTAAAATGACATGTTTACTAGTTTGGTTTCAGAATAAGGTCCTCACTGCTAGTGACTATTCAATCAATCACTTTATTTGTCCTGAAAGGGCAACTGGTTGTGCAGCAGAGAAACACAAGATAAAACCACAAAGCACATGAATACATAAGTGAAATTATGGGTAAAAAAAAGAATTTGGTTCCTGAAAGACATCTTTGAGTTTATAGAGATGGGGTATGAAATAGTCCTTTTATCTGTTTTTTTTTGGGGGGGGGGGGGGCTAATGGGAGTCAGAAACTGGATGTAGGGGGAGGGGGAGCTGTCAGACCACATGGACTCTACTTTCTCTATCAACTGTACTCAGACCACGTATTTGCTGCAGGCATTTACAACCCTATTTAGAATATTTGTCTGTTGACAGTGAGAGAAGAATACAGATTATAGCAGATGTACATACTGACTACTGACTGCTGGCATTAAGATAAAGTTGCATGCCATTTCATGTCATGATAATAACTGATTCATTTCTCGTACACTTCCTTTATCAAAAGACATCAAGATTCAATACTTCATTACCATATAAACATGGTTGATTGGAATTTGCCTTAGAGAGCTCACTTAAATGAAGACAAAAAAACACAAGCACACAATACATTAAACATTAAACAAACATACATTAAAAGTATAAAACAGATAGTATCCAACCCATACAAAAGCATAAAACAATGGGTAATATAAAAGCCAACATATAGTATCTCACAAAAGTAAGTACACCCCTCACATTTTAGTAAATATTTGATTATATCTTTTCATGTGACAACACAGAAGAAATGACTTTGCTACAATGTAAAGTAGTGAGTGTCCCGCTTGTAACACTGTAAATTTGCTGTCCCATCAAAATAACACAACACACAGACATTAATGTGTAAACTGCTGGCAACATAAGTGTGTACAACCCTAAGTGAAAATGTCCAAAGTGGGCCCAATTAGCCTTTTTCCCTCCCCGGTGTCATGTAACTCGTTAGTGTTACATGGTCTCAGTTGTGAATGGGGACCAGGTGTGTTAAATTTGGTGTTATCGCTCTCACACTCTCTCATACTGGTCACTAGAAGTTAAACATAGCCTCGCCATGGTCGACCAAAGAAGTTGAGTGCACATGTTCAGCCTCATATCCAGAGGTTGTCCTTGGGAAATAGATGTATGAGTGCTGCCAGCATTGCTGCAGAGGTTGAAGGGGTGGATGGAGGGTCAGCCTGTCAGTGTTCAGACCATACGCCGCACACTACATCAAACTGGTCTGCATGGCTGTCATCCCAGAAGGAAAACTGCCAACAGTTTGCTGAAGACACGCAGACTAAGGATGGATTACTGAAACCATGTCCTGTGGTCTGATGAGACCAAGATAAACTTATTTGGTTTAGATGGTGTCTAGTGTGTGTGGCGGCAACCAGGTGAGGAGTGCAAAGACAAGTGTGTCTTGCCTGAAGTCAAGCATGGTGGTGGGAGTGTCATGGACTGGGGCTGCATGAGTACTGCCAGCACTGGGGAGCTACATGTACTGTGACATACTGAAGCAGAGCGTGATCCACTCCTTTCGGAGACTGGGCTGCCGGGCAGTATTCCAAATAATAACGACGCCAAACACACCTCCACACCTCCGTTGCCTTGCTAAAGAAGCTGAGGGTAAAGGTGATTGACTGACAAAGCATGTCTCCAGACCTAAACCCTATTGAGCATCTGTGGGGCATCCTCAAACAGAAGAAGGAGTGCAAGGTCTCTGACGTCCACCAGCTCCGTGATGTCGTCATGGAGGAGTGCAAGAGGACTGTAGTGGCAACCTGTGAAGCTCTGGTGAACTCCATGCCCAAGAGGGTTAAGGCAGTGCTGGAAAATAATGGTGGCCACACAAAATATTGACACTTGGCCAAATTTGGACATTTTCACTCAGGGGTGTAGAGTAAGTGTCATTTCTTCAGTGTTGTTAAGTGAAAAGATATAGTCAAATATTTACAAAATATGTTAGGGGTGTACTCACTTTTGTGAAATACTCTATATATACACACCAAAAATGAAACACTAGCACATGTAGGGAAATTAGCAGCAACATCAAATGACCCAATAGATAAAGTGGTTCAAGTGCTTTAAATAACTGATAAAACAGCCAATAATAAATGAATTAGTGTTTTGGCCACATTCTCACTCTACGCATATCACGCAGTACACTGCAGGGTTTAATAGGCTCTGTACCTGCAGGTCGTAGGCAGTGTAAGGCGGCAGGCAGGGGGCAGTGTTGTAATACGAGTTGAGGGAAGTGGTGGGTGGAGGAGGCTGTGAGGGCACTGGAGCTGCAATGGCCTCAGGTTCAGATGCACTCTCTGAGGCAGCAGGAGTCTGACAAGGACATGAAGAATATTGATCAGTCGCTATCATCTCAACAAAACACCTTTACATCAGCTCATACTGACAAATCTATAATTAAAGATCAATATATAGTACCAGACTTATTTCGACACATCAGGCAGAATTTAAGCCCAGTTGTCCAATGGCGTCTTCTCTTCAGTCACCTGACCTACCATGTCTTTGAAGCCTCCCAGCACTGCAGCAGTAATGATGCCCAGAAAGAGGGCCACGATGTTGAGGATGGTAGCGAACCATAACAGGTGATAGAGGTGCACCACGTCCTGGCAGCTCTTCACATCTGTGTATTCGTGGTAGCCTCCAATCACCTCTACACGGCTAGGCCAGTTGGTGGGACAGAGAGGGAAACAGCCTACAGTCAAGCCACAAAAATCACCACTGGGCTCTGTGCATTTGTATTCAGGACACATTAAAAGACATACAACAAGGTTTGATTTATATAATGAATAAGTCTCTGTAAAAGTTCAGATGGTTTTGGTTCAAATCTGAGACACAGAGGACATGCCATGGGTGTTTGATCAGACACAAAATGGACATGCAGAGCAAATGGCTCCCTAAAAACACACTTCTATGGTGGGCTAAAGCATAAAAACTAAACATTACATACATTACTTAGGTTTAATTATCACTTGTCAAAAAAATAAAATAAAATCATGAGTTGATCATTAACGGCCAATATGGTTCTAGAAAAAGGGACCTACTTCCAAATCATGGAGGATTTCCTAAACTTTTTCAAAACATCTTTATTCTGAAGTCCCATAAGAGGATGTTCTCTGAAACAAAGGTTAAAAGAAAAGAAACATTCTTTTCTAATACCATCAACGCAGTTGCAGTGCAAAAATAAAAAATAAAAAATCTCCCGCAAAAATAACACATCAAACGGGACACATCGAAAGTCCCAAACAATCAAGGCGTCACAGCAAGGTAAGTAGCCATTGATTCAGAGGTGTATCAGGGGCTCGACCACCCAGCGTACTCACTTCCCGCAGTTGTAGAGGTCGCAGCAGTAACAGGTGTTGCTCTTCACACGCAGGTTGCAGGAGGTGCGTGATGACTGACAGGAGACCTGGAGGTCAAAAGTTATTTTATAGTCTCTTCAATATGGGTTGATTTCTGCCTCTTAATTATGTCTTTATACAACTTCATGGCTAAACAACCAATGGCTGTATTGACAGATGATTAATAACATACATAGGATGAATTCATCATGTTTCTGGGAACAGAAAGAGAAATGTGTGTTTCTTACATCGCGGTCAGATGCAGTCTCACTGTAGTGATACTCACAGCGTCCAGCATACAGAGGCCTGAGGTCCTGCAGCACAATAAATGACATGTTTCTATATTTCACTGCACGATTCATCACGGGTCTACTTACTAACACCAAACTACTAAATTAGAAGAAGCTTATACTTGATTTGTGCTCCATGATCAGTGACTGCAACGGTAACCATGATTATCATCGTCATTCAACCCCCCTTAGAAAGCTAGTAAGCAAGGCTGGTTACTAACCTGTGCTAATCTGATTAATCACATATTTGTTTGGTAATACTGTACACTAACCCACTAAAACACAAACCTATAACATACATGTGACAGCAAACTTACACTATGGCTTATTTTGCTCAATATTGACAACATGTATATTTATTATTGTATTAATGTTTGGGAGAATATTACCTTCATTTTCACACAATCCCTATAAATAAATCTGTTGCCTGTGTAGTATATTTCACAAACATTGTCAAGGGTCAGAAAGTGCTTTAGATGCCAAGCATCAATATTGAGCATGATGGCGTTTAATCAACTATAATTATCAATGATTGTGATTATTATGCACCTAATTGTCCAGGCCCATAGTTGATCTATAGTTGAGGTAAAGCAAAAAGGATTATGTCCATAGGCACCAAAAATGTGATTTAGTTTTTAGAAGTAGAATTCTGAAATATTTACAAGCATTTTAATGAAATTTAACAATTGTAAAGTACAGTATAGTTACAATGAATAACCACCATCGGACAGCA